TTCTCCATCTCATGACTCAGCAGGAATTTCTCCAATAAAGAAATAAAGCTTTTGCCTGAAGATCCCACTCTGCCCATGACAGGAAGCCCTGGGAGTATCTGTGACATCCCAGCTCTTTGGCAGCCTGGGGACTCCTGGGATGTCACCGTGGAGTCCCCAGAAGTGCCTGTGCCAGAGCGGTGCCTTTGCAGCCCAGGGTCCCCTGGGATGTCACCATGGAATTGCTGTGACTGTGTCTGACCACACGGCTCTTTAGCATCCCCAGAAACCCCTGGCTGGTCTCCATGGAGACCCTGTCTGTGCCTGTGACATTCCAGCTCTTGAACAGCCTGGAGACTCTCTGAAGAGCCATAGAACCCCTCTGAGGGCCTGTAACAAATCTGATCCTTGGTAGGAAACCATCACCAGCCCCCTGTTTTTATGGTCCGTTTCCATGGCAACCATCACAGCACCTGTTGGTCAGTCCCTTGGCAGCTCCATGGAGACCCGCTTACCGGGGTGGTTACCATGGACACCAGCTCAGGCCTGGAGCCAGAGTCCATTGACATGGCAACCATTTCCTGCTGGAACTCAGCCAGCCCTGGAGCTGGGAGCCTTCCCTGGGGAGCCTGTTCAGTGCCCCAGCAGCCTCGGGGGAAAAACCTTTTCCTCACATCCAGCCTAAACCTGCCTGCCTCAGCTCCAGTCGGTCCCTCCACTCCTGTCCCTGGGCACCAGAGGGAAGAGGTTCCCGCAGCCCCCAGCCAGGGACCCGCTCCCAAGGCTGCTGCCATGGCAACCAGGCCTGGCACCAGCTGGGATGCTCAGTTTCCAAGGGCTGAGCTTCAGGAATGGCATTCCCCAATTTCCTGCTTCCGCTAAAACTGCGCTGCCGCTTGCTTCCCTCCCACCTCCGATGGAAAGCACAAAAGGCAAAGATCCCAGTCTGGGATAAGAACAATTTATTGAGAACAGCAACGGGATAAGGAACAAACAGGAACAGAAAAATATTGGATAACAGAAGGGATAAGACAAACTATTCACAGGGAAAACTAAAATGCCACCGACTGGCTCTTCCTGGCCACGTATTTCCTCCTGCCAAGAAAGGACACTCTTCTCCTCTGGTGAGAGAGAGGGAGTCCTTTTCCTGCCCCTGGCAATGACCTGAGATGGGATTAAATATAATGACAGGGACATGGTCAGACTCTCATGTTCTTTGATCTCACATCATGTCATTACCATGGGCAGGAAAAGGTACAGGTGTCTTCCCAGCATGGATCACAGGGAACATAGATCACCAGGTCTCTTCCTAACCTCGGTCCTCCAAGGGGGGATGAAGCCAGAGCAGTGGACAAAGCTCTTCCTGCATTTGTGGCACTTGCAGGGCTTCCCTTAGTGGTGCCTCCGTTGGTGTCTGGTCAAGTTAGAGCTGACTGAGAAGCTCTTCCCACACTGGGGACACTTGTAGGGCCTCTCCCCAGTGTGGATGCGTTTGTGGGTACTGAGGCTGGAGCTGCAGCTGAAGCTCTTCCCACATGCCCCACACTCGTAGGGCCTCTCCCCAGTGTGGATGTGCCGGTGGGTGATGAGGTGGGAGTTTTGCTTGAAGCCCTCCCCACAGTCGGGGCAGCGGAAGGGCCTCTCATCCGTGTGAATCCGCTGGTGCAGGATGAGATTGGAGCTGCTGTGAAACCTCTTCCCACACTCAGGACACTCGTAGGGCCTCTCCCCACTGTGGATGCGCTGGTGGATGATGAGGTGGGAGCTGAGGCTGAAGCCCTTCCCACACTTCCCACACTCACAGGCCCATTCCCCAGTGTGGATCATCTGGTGGCGGATCAGGCGGGAGCTCTGGCTGAAACTCTTCCCACACTCCAAGCATTTGTAGGGCTTCTCCCCATCCTGAAGCTGTTCATGGACCACTAGCTCAGAGCCCCAGCTGGATCTCCGGCCGCTTTCCCGGCACAGGGTGGGTCTTTCCTCCTCAGAGCACCCTGGGCTGGGTTTGGAGCCCCTCCTCCTGCGGGATCTCCATGGCTTTTCCTCCCAATTTGACTCCTGCACTGTGGAGCTGCTCAAATCAACCTCTTCCACGAGGTTCTGCTGTGGGGATTTGTCCTCCCTGATCTCCATCCTCAGCTCCTTGTCTGGGGGAGGAAGGACTAGGAGAGGATGGGATTTGCTTCCTTGACAGAGAAAAGGGGAAGGAGATCCCCCAAGTGCGTCCCTGGCAGGACGGCATCGGCAGCGGGGTTGTCCTGCAGCCGGGGGCCGTGCTGGGCTGGGAGATGGAGCAGGAGAGAGGGGGAAAGGGGCACTGACTTCCTCCTCACTTGCCAGGGTGTCCTGGGGCATTTTCCTCTTCCTCATAGCCTCCTTCTCCATCTGGCTAAGATGTGGGAATGGGAAATCCTGGTTTGGGGAAATACAAGGGATGAGCACGTTGAGTTTCCAGGTCCCTCTACCCAAGTCCATCTCTAGAAGTCACCGGGCATCTGGGGCCCATAAAAACCTCCCAAACACCAAGATTCAGCCCTGAAAATGCCTCCCAGGAGTTCCCCATCTCTGGTCTCTCCCTTTTGGTGTTCAGTGGTTCCCCCCGTCCCAGTTGCAGGGGGTCACGCTTATACTGGTGGTCCCCAGTCTACTTGGTCCCTGCTCTCCCCAGGCTGCTGGGAGTGCCAGGAATCTGAAAAGTTCCCGTTTCCATCTCCCCACTTAGGGATGCTTGGACCCCCCAAGGGGCATTTTCCGCTCAGCTTTGGAGTTCTTCATTCTCCAAACATCCCCCCTCCAAAAATCCCAGCCCATGAACCCTGCAGGATACCAGGCCTAGGTCTCCCTCCCTGTGGGGAGATGTCACCTATGGGATTGGGGGGGATGATCCCACGGGTGGGGGGCTGTGAATTCAGGGAGTGCTCAACCTCATAGTTCCTTCTCCTTTACCTGGTCCTCCTTTGTCCCTCCTCTTCCACTTGCTCTGCCTCTTCCTCCCCCTCCACGTCCTCCCTAGCCCCACCTCCTTTTTCTATTTCCATCCCTTCTCACTCTCCTTCTTCATCCCTCCTCTTCCATCCCTCCTCCTCCTCTCCCAGGAGCAGCAACACCCTCGGTGCCCCGTTCCCAAACCCCTCGCAGCCCACAGCAGGAGTGGGGATGGAGCCGGGACGTTTGGGATGGGCAGCGCGTGGCTCTCGGCTGCTCCCACCCATTGGGGGCAGGGGGAACCCAGCCCGGGGAAAAGGAGAGGGAAACTGGGAAAATTGGGGGCTGCAGATCCAACCTGGGGATGGCTGGGGACCCTGTCTGGGGACTGCCAGCCCTTGGGGCTCCTCTGGGGAGATGTGGGAGGGGAGAACACAGAGAGGGCTGGAGGATCCCAGGAGTGGCAGCACTGGCAGGGACTGGGTTGTACTGGGATGATATTGGCAATGACTGTAATTGTACTGGGGGTGTACTGACATCATACTGGGATCATACTGGGGGCAGGTGAGCCCATGGCAGGAGAGACTGCGATCACACTGAGGGAGACTGGGATCATACTGGGATATCATACTGGGATATCATACTGGGATCAGACTGGCAGTGAGTAGGAGGCTGCAGGCGGCAACTGAGACCAGGTTGGGAGAAAATGGGATACACTGGGAGTGACAGGGATCATGCTGAGGCTGACTGGGAACAGCTGTGAGTAACTGGGATCATGTTTGGAGGAACTGGCAGGAACTGGGAGTGACTGTGTGCATGCTGGGGGTAACCTGAAGGAACTGGGCTTTACTGGGATGAACTGGGATCATGCTGGAGGTGGCAGAGATCATACTGGAAGAGAGTACAACTTCACTAAGGGTGACTGGGAGCGGTTGAGAGCAAATGGGATCGCGCTGGAAGGAATTGGGAGGGACTGGGAATATGCCCTGTGCTCCCCAGAATGCCGGGATCGCCCCCTATGTCCCAAAAGTGTCCCCCAGACCCTCCAGGACCCCGAGTGCCCCCTGAGCACCCGTTCAGGACCCCCCAAAGCGTCCCTGGCTCCCTGAATACTCCCGATCCCACAGACGCCCCTTCCAGCCACTGCTAGGAATTCATCTCCCATCGTCCCAGAACACAGTTCCGCGCCCAAACCTCCTGCCGTGCCCCGCGCCCTAAAGAGCGCGGTTAGAGCTCCCCAGGCTCCCCCCAAGTGCTCCCGAGCCGTATACATTCACCCCGAGGACCTGCAGCCCTGGCTCGGACGCAAAAGTGTTCTCCAAGTGCCTCCCCACACCGCAAAACGCGCCTTCCGAGCCACTTCCGGGACTACAGCTCCCATCATGCTCCGCGGCGCCCATACAGCGCCATTCCAGCCAGGACTTCATCTCCCGTCATGCCCCGCGCCTCACCGGAACCCACTGGAGCTGCGTCTACAACTCCCGTGATGCTCCGTGGCTCTATTAAACTGTATTATACCGGTGCCTACAACTCCCATCATCCCCCGCGGCCCAGAGATTCCCCGTTACAGCCCCCCAAGTGCCCGCCCGGACCCCAAAGGGCCCCCAGATTCCCCTTCCTGACCTCCAAGTGCCCCCTGGACCCCCAGGTGCTTCTCCAGACCTCGAATTGTCCCACAGAATCCCTAAGTGCCCCTCCAAGTGTCCACCCGGCTCCCCCAAGTGTCCTCCAGACACCCAGGTTGTCTCTAAATTCCCTCCCCAGACCCAAAACTGCCCCAAATGTTCCTCAGAAAAGTCTCCATGGATCCCAAAGTGGCCCCTTTTACCCTGTCTGAGAAAATTTTTATAATGATAACCTAAGGATTAAAAATAGGACTAATTAGCATAAAGAGGGAGAAATAGTGGTCAATTAATTAATGAAGGGAATTTTGGTATTTAGAACCAAAGACCAATAATGTTTTTAGTTGCTCAAAATGTATAAATCATTTATATAAATATAAAAATTAGGTTATAAAAATACAGAATAAAATTATTATAAAAATTGAAATTTTATTTTTATTAATTAATTAGATTTTAATGAAAAAAAAAAGTTTATAAATGTTTTCAATGTTTTGGGATATCAGTCCCAGGTGGGCGATGTCAGACATGCTGAGGCTTGGGGTGAGGAGCAGGTTGTCCAAACAGGGGCAGCCTGCAAGGGCCTCATTCTTCTCTGTGACCAGACTTCCTAAGGAGACATTCAGCATCAAGATCACTTGGGGAATGCTTCTGTCACCTCTTCTCTCAACTAGAAGAGAAAAAAAAATGCCCTTCATTGAAAAAAAAAAAAAAATGTAGTGGATTTTCAACTCTCCCTCCTTAACAGAACTCCAAAGTGACTCCAAGCAGCTGCACAAGTCTTGGACTTGAAGACAATGGAAGGAAGAGAAAGAGCCCCCGAGGCTTTCTGTGTTTTAATGAACCCCAGGCTGGATTTGGGGCTGAGTCCAGGACCCTCAGGCACTGAGAGAAGGTTGAAGGAGCTGCTCAAGGAGTCAGAAGCAAAACTCCAAGTCCCTTGGAGCATCCCTGGGCCCCACTGACTGCCGGCTCCTG